GGGTGTGTGGCAGAGGAGATAAATACTTGGTTCTGGATTATTCATAGATTGCTGACTTTCTGGATTGCTTGTGCAAGCCCCTCCTTTTATTGATGTCCACCTTCTGTTGACAGACATCTACCCTGGTAAAGAAATGAGATGAAACTCTCTTTCTTTTCATTGTAAAAAGCATTTGAATCTCTAAAGTGTGATAAGGCCACCCAGTCATCCACAGTCAAGGTACACATTTTCATGGAGGATGTTCCCACTCTTGAATAAATTAAAACAATTTTTTTCTTTTAATTTAAACTTTCTTCTATAACTGTTTTCTTGTTACTTAAAAGCTAGTTTTTTTGAAACTATTTCCAAAGCTTTTCAAGCTGTATATGTCCTTGGAATAAATTTATAAATAAGAATTGAGCCCGGCTGGTGTTACTCAGTGGTTTAGCATCGACCTATGAACCAGGAAGTCACAGTTTGATTCCATGTCAGGGCACATGCCCGGGTTGTGGGCTTGATCCCCAGTACCGGGCGTGTAGGAGGCAGCCGATCAATGATTCTTTCTCATCATTGATGTTTCTATCTCTCTCCCTTTCCCTTCCTCTCTGAATCAGTAAGAATATATTTTTGAGAGAGAGAGAGAGAGAGAGAGAGAGAGAGAGAGAGAGAGAGGAGTATATATGTTTGTAAATAAGAAAACATGTATTTGATGCTCTTAGAAAGTCTTCTTTTCTTTCATTAAAACTTGTGCAGTATAGGGAACTCCATAGATTCTCTTAATTTGAAGAAAGTTAGAGGGAAAGGTACTAATTCAGAGTTCCTTGGGAAAATGTATCACTTATATATTTTTTATGTTTATTTTTTTAAATCAAAAACTGAAATATTTTCTATTCAGAAAATATATTTGGATCTAAATATCTTCTATAATTTTAATCCTAAAATATCAATTTAAATATTTTAAAAATGGTTGGGATGTTTGTTTTTTTTAAATAAGTTAGGTTACTGGAGTTCTACATGTTACTGGATCACCTGGGGTAATTTTCTGATTGGAAAATTAAGAATTATAGTCAGAGGGGAGGACATGAGAATTTTTAAAGAACATATTCAATTTACCTTAGAAGCTGAACCTCTCTTATCATGTGACTTGTTTTGTATGTTTGTTAAACTATATTATCATATAAGCATTGCTGCTATTGGGACAAACAGTGACAGTTGATTTGGGTCATTTGAATGTCCACTGTCTGTTTTAATTTGTATATTCGTTTTGACTCTGTCATATGCTCAAACTTCAGTGGAAGTCATGAGAACCTATTATTTTTGCCTGCTCCCTCCTTTATGTTGGAAATATTCTTTTTTACTCAGAGGGACCTTAACTTTGATATAAGGGATTGTTTCTGTTGCCAACTTTTTTCTTCCTTGCCAAGTAAGAGAGTTGTTGTGAACTCTTTAGTGATGCCTTCCCCAGGATATTTGCAGATGTGGGTGGGAAAAGTCATTTCATCCCCGACCTTTGCATGTCAGGTGCTGGGGGTGCCCGGGTGCCACCTTGCCTGCAGCCGGGCTCTCTGATCACGATCATGATCCCGATTGCAGATCACGGGGCCACAGGCACGGCAGCACCCGGTGCCAGGGTGCCGCCGTGCCTTCGGCCCCGGCTCTCCCTTTGCAATCACCAGCTGGGGGCAGGCAAAGGCAGCCCCGGTTCTCTGATCCACCCGGCTCTTGCCTGCCGCCTGGTTTTCTGATCACCGTTCTTCCCTCCTTCCCCTTTCACCTCCCATCATTGCGCCTATATATGCAAATTAACCGCCATCTTTGTTGGTGGTTAACCGCCATCTTTCTTGGCAGTTAATTTGCATATCGCCCTGATTAGCCAATGGGAAGCGTAGCGAAGGTATGGTCAATTACCCTTTTTGTCTTTTATTCGATAGGATAGTACTGGGAGTCCTAGCCACAGCAAACAGACAAGAAGAGATAAAAGGCATCCAAAATGGAAAGGAGGAAATAAAACTGTCATTATTCACAGATGACATGATAGTGCACATAAAGACTCCACTAAGAAATGATGAGATTTAATAAATGAATTTGGCAATGTAGCAGGATACAAAATTAACACCCAGAAATCAATGGCATTTTTATATACCAATAATGAACTCTCACAAAGAGAAACTAGAAAAACAATCCCATTTACCATTGCAGCATGAACATTAAGATACTCAGGAATAAACTTAACCAAGGAGGTAAAATATCTGTACTCGAGCCCAGCCGTCATGGCTCAGTGGTTGAGTGTTGACCTATGAACCAGGAGGTCATGGTTCAATTCCCAGTGAGGGCACATACCTGGGTTGTGGGCTTGATCCCCAGTGTGAGGCATGCAGGAGGCAGCCAATCAATGATTCTCTCTTATCATTTATGTTTCTATCTCTCTCTCTCCCTTTTCCTTCCTCTCTGAAAACAATAAAAATATTTTTTTTAAAAAGAAGCTGTCTTAATTCAGGTTCTCCCAAAAGCAGCCCCTAAGATGGGGACTTAGGAACAGGTATTTTATTTGGGTGTGGGGAAAGTGACACAGGGCAGGAGGGAAGAAAGTCAAGAAAAGGTGTGTTATTAATGGAGTACTACAGCATGCAATTAGGGGACAAATCACAGAACTGTCACGCTGGGGAGGCGGTCAAGGAAGTCAGAGGGCTTTATCCTTCTCAGACTCCCTTCCCTCATCAGTCTGCTCCAGGAATGAGTGCCTATGGGCCAAATATGTTGCTATTTGGATTATATATTTACTAGAGGCCCGGTGCACGAATTTGTGCATGGGTGGGGTCCCTAGGCCTGGCTGGCGATCGGGCCATCTGGGGGGAGAGAAACTGCAGCTGGCAGGGGGAAGGGATCAAGGGAGGTTGGCTGTGGTAGCACACTGACCTCCAGAGGCCAGCTCCTGCGTTGAGTGTTTGCTTCCTGGTGGTCAGTGTGTGTCATAGTGACTGGTTGACCTGTCATTCTGGTCATAACGGTCGCTTAGGCATATATATATATATATATATATATATATATATATATATATATATATATATAATCTCACCCAAACCCTCCAATTCTCTGGATATTGGCCCTATTTTACAGATTAGGAAATCGAGATGCAGAAAGATTAAACCAGTTGATGAAAATCATATAGTTAATAAGCAGCAGAGCAAGACTCTGAGTCCAGTCTTGTCTCTTCTTCTCTAGGATGCAATGTCATAAAAGCCACAGCACATCCATTCTCCAAACAGCTGGCACTCCTTGTGGAGTTACACAGCCTGTGAGATGCTTGTGTTTCTAGCCTCTCTCCTTGCAAAGAAAACATATTGAGACAGCTGCCCAGATTGTTTTAATCTTCTTGCATCCACAGAAAAAATATTCTAGGTCATAATCCACCAGTCATGTAAAATTTTTATAGCATCACCATCCATGGCTACTCCCACCCCAGATACTAGTTACTATGAAATTATGCCAGAATTTGGATCAAAGTATGGGGGGAAATTCAAGGCAAATTTTTATCTGATGAACTCATGGCAGAGAATCAAATTTCAGAGAGAGCTCCAGATTCTAGTATATTAAAAAACATTCTATAACTTTACTGTGAAGAGAGTACTTTATTAGAACAAATAAAGCATGCTGAGCTCTGCCGGGACACAGAGGTCATGCTAATGTGTGAGCCAAGGAGTCTTTTCTTGCTTTAGTAGAAAAGATAATAATCTGAAAATCATTAGCATATGAGGTTGGCTTGATTTAAAATGCACATAGGTATAAAAAGGTCCAGGAAATCAGTGTATTTATAGCTTGCCTACATTAGTCAGTGGAAAGGCCCTTGCTGCTCCGAAAGTAACACTTGGGATGGCGCTGTATCCTAGTACCTTCAGCAAAGCAAAGGCATGATTCTCATCTTCTGTTCCATAGGTTCCCTAATCTTCCACTTCACAGGGAGCCAGGGGAACAGTCAGGCCCCTCTGACACCACCTACACTCCAGCCCAGCTCTACAGCAGCTAGATCAAGAAAGTCACAGCCCCAGAAGTCCAAGAGCATCCCACCTGAAGGAGCCCTTACCCTAGACCCCACCACCTACCACCTAACCATCAGTCAGACTTAGAAAGCAGAGTCCCCTTAGCATTAAACCCAACAGGACACAGGATCTTCGCCACAGGGATAAAATGCAAAGCATTCTGGCCAGGCACTGCTCACCCAGCTCTTTCACAGAAGAACTGAGGAAATGACAGATAACAATCTTGTATACAAATGACCAGGATGCAGATTACAAGACCCCAGCCACACACTCAGTGGGCTGTCTGAGAGAAGCATTTTTATCCTCTTGGTACAGAACTTCATAATTCTTGGTCCAGAGCAAGTGTGGGCAAGGCTCCAGACACATGTGATATCTATCTGCCTAGAACTGCTTTCCCTCCCAAGAATCTCATAGTAAGTGTAGACTTTCCTGGGATGGGAAACAGCCAGGTCTGCTCGTTTTCTGGGCTCACAAAGGCCTCTGTGGCAGACACCCATCCACTGACTCTAACAGGAAAGGGAAGGGCTGGGGTGCAGAGGGGAACTTCACCTGGCACACTGGGCTGGAAGACTTTATTCAGATCCAAGGAGGAGGCTCTGGAATGGGTTTTCTGTGGCCGCGGTGGCGGGGTGGGAGGGTCCTCGCCCCTTTTCATGGCCTCTTCTATGGAGGTGCTAGAGTAAGATCTGCAGCAAAATAAGGGAAAGTCAGAAAGGAAGCAGCAAAGCTTTACTCTCTGAAGTTGGGTTGAAATGGAAAATACCCACAAAAGTCAAAGTGACTACAAAGGACTAAAAAGCTCCCAAAGCAAACATGAATTCTACTGTCCCCTGGATGCCCTATCTGCCACAATGCCCAAACCCCAATCGTGAATCAAAATCTTTTTAAATCTTTGCTCCTATTATATCTTAAACCTAAATTTACTGAAAAGAAAAACTTTCTATAAATTAAAGTCTGTTTCTACTGGAATTATTAATAAGAATAGCATGAAAACCCTTCTGCTTAGGTACTTCCCTTTTTTAGAAGAAGGGCTTCATGCTATTAACTGAGTGCAGAACTTTTCTTCTGTTTACATGCAAAGGTGATGACAGGCACATACTGAATTGGTACAGACAAGCTGAGAGTAAGACTCAAATGTTAAAGGGAAAATGCCACAAATGAAATTCAGGAAAGGAAAACACACACCAATCAGGTCGAGGGGTCTAGTTTGTCTTACCATGAGAATTACAGGTTTGGGGAAACTTTCAAAGCAAAAGCCTCCTCTTCACTTCCTCCCTCAATTTGTGACAAGGCAGTAGCTACCTAGACAACTTCTGAGATCATAATGTCAATAATGACATTTAAAGAAAAATGAGCTAAATAATTTGCCAAAGGTCACACAGCTAGAAAGTTGCATAGGTTCAATTTAAACTCTAGTCCCTATCTGTTTCCAAATTCCATTTCAAAAATGTTTTGATACTGCCTATGAGCCAGGGAAGAAATCTTTTGGTGATAGCAGACTGAAAGGTCCCAGGTTCGATTCCGGTCGGGGGCATGTACCTGGGTTGCGGGCGCATCCCCAGTGGGAGATGTGCAGGAGGCAGCTGAACAATGTTTCTCTCTCATCGATGTTTCTATACTCTCTATCTCTCTCCCTTCCTCTCTGTAAAAAATCAATAAAATATATTTTTAAAAAAATGTTTTGATACTGCCTATGAGCCAGGGAAGAAATCTTTTGGTGATAGCAGCTAGACTATTAGAGACTACTTACTTTCTAAATTAATTCCACTCAATACATTATTCTATTGCTTAGGAATAGGCTTGTGGATGAGTTCCCAATATGATTTTCTAAGAAGTGAATGGGTATGTACGTCTGTTCTATTCAGCTTCTCAGCCGACGTTGTGTCAAAAAAAGAAAATGACCTTTGAGTCAAAGATATGTCCTAGGGACAAATTAACCTCAGAAAACTGTTCTTGCTATTTAGCTATTAGAGTGGCACTTATGAAATTAGAATCTATCCATTTTTATTAGGTAACTTCAGTTCTTGGTAAAGTTGGTTTTCACATAGCAAGTTTTTGTTTTCCTGAATGAGTTCCTCAAGGTTTCTGTTTTGTTTGCCATACAAAGTTTTGATCTTTAATAAAGCCACCATAATGGCATGTGATGTGCTCTGGGGTGGTCCCCATCACACAACTGGCAAGACAGGCAAGTCAAAGGCATGCAGAAAGCATCAGGAAGAATGCTCTAATACTTTCAACCAGAATAAAATGGAATTTATCTGAAAGGACGACAAAGTTTTCAAATGGGAACTCTTGATTTAAAAAGGAAATTAGAGCCCTGGCTGGTTTGGCTCAGTGGATAGAGTGTCAGCCTGTTGATTAAAGGGTCCCGGGTTCGATTCTGGTCAAGGGCACGTTCCCGGGTTGTGGGCTCGATCCCCGGTAGGAGGCATGCAGGAGGCAGCTGATCAATGATTCTCTCTCATCATTGATGTTTCTATCTCTCCCTCTCCCTTCCTCTCTGAAATCAATAAAAATATTTTTAAAAATAAAAAAGAAATGAGAGACCCTAGCTGGAAATTAAAAGAACTTCTAATGCCAAATATAGCTTTAGTGACATTATTCACTAAATAAAGAAAAATGTGGGGGGGGGGGGTTGGAGATCAACCGAAGGACTTATATGCATGCATATGAGAATAACTAATGGACACAAGACAATGGGGGGTAGGGGAAGCCGGGGGAATGTCAAGGGGGGAAAAAAGGAGACATGTGTAATACTCTTTGTAATACTTTAAGAAATAAACACACACACACACACACACACACACACACACAGTTAAACATACTACTCTTTACCACATATCTCATGCCACTTTATTTCCATATATAACCTGTATATTTATATTTTGTTATTGAAAGTTAACTGAATATCAAATAAGTGATACTGAAAAACTGTGATTGCAACCAATTAAAATATAAATGTGCAGGGAATCAAAAATGATTAATACAGTAGTATTCGAGTGGTGATTTTTCCCTCTTTCCCTTATATTTCTACAAAGCTTTATTATTCTAAAAAGGAGGATAAAAATGATTTTATTCTCTTGGTCTCAGTAAAGACCCAAATAGGAGTAGTGAAATAAAAACATCCAAATTCGACCAGCAGACTAATCCCCAAAAGAATAATATATTAAAATTTAGCCAGTGAGATTAATAATCAAATATTTAACTATGAGATTTTGTAATTTCACTCACTTTAAGAGAGAGAGGAAGTCAGAAGTGAAAACTTTGAGGTTCAATTTACAGTTAACATAGAACACATAAGCAGATTTCTGCAGTTGAAAGGTTTTTACAACGACAAAGGCAGATAAATGTTACTAGTCCTACATCCTAAAGCCTACAGACTAATATGCAAAAGATCTATTCATCTTGTCCACCAGTGTGGCTCAGAGGTTGAGCATTGACCTATGAACCAGGTCACGGCTCAATTCCTGGTCAGGGCACACACTCGGGTTGCAGACTCCATCTCCAATAAGGGTCTGCAGGGGCAGCCAATCAATGAGTCTCTCTCATCATTGATGTTTCTATCTCTATCTCCCTCTCCCTTCTCCTCAGAAATCAATAAAAATATTTTTTTCAAAGGGATGATATATATATTTGCTCCTTCTATATACAAGGAAACAAAACTCCAATTTGGAAAATCCAGACATAAAAGATACACTAAGGGATACGGTAAATACGAAAACAAGATTTCCTTAAACATCAATATTTCAAAATATGATCAGATTTAAATTCACTTTTTTAGGAATGTGTCTAGTATCCAAATGAGAAAAAAATTCACTAAGAGCCAAAGGAAAACTTGGAAAAGACACATGTAGTATCCTATCTCACACTGCAATCTACTGGTGAAGAGGGCTCCCAATACCATCTTCTCTCTTTGATGTCCTATTGGTTCTTTTAGTCTTTCTGTTTTGTCCTTGCTCCTCCTTTCTGATGCCTCATGTCAGCCACGGCTCTGCCTCCCTGGCTCTCCCTCCCTCTTTTGCTAGCCTCTAGTGATTGAAAAACAGTGAAGCTGAGAAGAGGCTCTAATACAGGATGAAACAGACCATAAGTACTGCGTACCTGAAGGTTTAGACCTCATTGGAGTCACCATAAGCATTTCCTTTCCCTATTCTAGATTAGACCCCAGACTTCTTACTTTTTGGTGTTCACCTTATCATGACAGTAAATTTCAGTGTTAGTTACCTTTAAATTTTACTTCCTTCTTTACAAGGCTACTTCCCCCTACTCGTTATCATCCTGCAACAACTGGGGCATATCACACAGGCCACTTCATATCAAGTGACCAGAGCATAGCAGCTACTGTCTTCCAGCACCAACAAACACAGAAACTAAGAGTCTACCAGTAGCACTGCATGCTCCAGTCAGGCCCCTCATGACAGTGAACTCACCCATAGTCTAACTTTCAAATCAAAAGGAAAAGGAGATTGTGGGTTGGGCTTTGGGTTGGGGGTTTGTATTTCTAATTTGAAACAGGCACAAAGGGCATTAAAGTAGAAATTAAACAAACACTACCTGGATCTTGGTCTTGCTTTGAGACTGTTGGAATCCTTAGGAGTTGCTGAAACAAAGATTGATTATTGTTTGCTTGGGTTTCATTTCTGCAGTTAACAGGTTTATATACAACACCTGGGCTAGTACAGAGCACATCAACAGGTTAACGTGAACTACAGGTGTCCACGTGGACAACTTGACGTCTTCCACAGTTCCATGATTTCAGAAATTTATTTCTAAAGTTAAAGGCACAATTGAAAGGAAAGAAAAAAACAACATATTTTCCTTTCCTCAGAACACTAAGAAGCCATTCTCAAATCAAAGTTGATTAACAAAGAAATTCCAGTCTAAAAAGACAACCTTCTCAAGGGGTTATCTATGTACATAATGAAGGGTTCAGACTTAATGATTTCTTGGTCTATCATGACTGCCTAGTAATACATTTTGAATCAGTCTCCCCTGCAGGCTAAGAAGAAATCTATTGGGCTATATATGTTAAGGTTTTCTTAAAATACACTACCAGAGCAGCATGACCAGAAGAAATCAAAGTTCCAACAAGTAAGTTGCACTGTGCCAAGCAACTTTTCCTAAAAGAAAATATTCTTGTGTCCTATGTCTCTATGACCAAATTGTACAGAGAATATTATGGCATGAAATCATTAAAATATTTTGTCTACCATACAACCCTTCCTTATCAAATTTCAATCATAAACTAACTTGCTCACTACTGACACCCATAAAGCCTACTTCCCCATCCCAACTTGTTGAGAGTAATTAGAAACATTTACAAAAACATTAATATCCTTTTGATGTTTTCAATCCTCTATGAATGTCAACTTTAGAAACCACTAAAGTTGACATTTTGCCAGCACTGCAAATTTTTCATCATAAAATGGCATAAAAATTCACAGAAAAAGCGCTGCTAACTAGGAACAAAGAATTATAGTTTATATATTGTTTGCACAAATCCTTCCAGAAAGAAAATGTCTCACTGCATCATCTCCTCCTCTTTCACATCGCTCAAAGATAAAACCCTCCTTGTGTATGAAGCAGCCTGAATTTACAAGGACCATTAAAATCCTTGGGTTAGATAAGCAGAGCGGGAAGGGGAGCTACAGTGCTGACAAGACACAAAGCAAACTGGCATTACGCATCCCCATTCCATGGGGTCAGCTGCAGAAGAGGTACATTTCTCCCAACCTACTCATTTTGGCTTGCTGTAGTGAGAATACAGGCATCTTTCAACTCAAACCACTGAAACACTGCCAGAGCTCCGGAAAGCCTGGGCAGCCGAAGAGTCTGAGCCCTGTCTTACCCATTATCAACAAAAACTAATTCCCCCCAGGCATCAAAGGAAAACAGCCTAAGGAGAGCCTCTGAGACCTCCAGCCAAGCTGGCCGCCTTGGGGTGGGTGGAAAGTGTGAGCAAACTCACCACAGAGCTGGGGGCCACCCTCTAGCAGGCTGCCCACAGCAGGCTCCGGCTCTGTGGCCCTCTTCTCCCTCAGGCCCCACTGCTTTCCACAAATATGTAGATAGAAGTCTCAGCCATGTGAAAATACTGTTCACCAAACCAGACGATGGTGACCGTTAATTCTTTTGTCAATTGACACTATCTTTGTCTTTTTGCTGGGGTAGGGACGGGTGTGGAAACGGGGTAAACCCTGCTGGTGAGAGATAGACAGATGGGGTGAGGGGCGCAAATGAGCACTAGAGACCAGTTCGGATGTCGTGAGGCCTGCGTGCTCCTCCTGGCCATGGCACTCACTAGTTGTTAGCTCTCTGAGCCTCAGTTCCCTCGCCTACAGGATGAGGAAAATAAAAATGTAGCCATTCCTCACGGGAAGAGACAAGGCACCAAAGGTACTTTAACAACTATATGTATTTTAGAATTGCAAAATATTACTGTTGTACAGTTTTCCAAATTTTTTAAGTTTAGAAATCTCATTTTTAAATATAGTTCCTTCTAGGACAGTAAAGGAAAGGCAGGTGGGAGTAGGTAATGGAAACAGAACTGATCTATCCCATAGGACCATGGGGTGATAGCTGGCCATCGTGGAAGCTGCTAGAATCACTAACGGCATTCAGAAGACTACACCAGTTTGAGGATGAACAGGCTTAATCCACTCAGCATTACCTAGAGACATCAAGAAAAAGATCACCATTGTACAGTGTGCTCTGTTGAATTAGCTGAAATATAATGTTAGCTAAGAAATCTATTAGACTCCACTGATATATAGGCTTTCCACAATTAAAAGGGTCAGGTTATATGAAAAAATATGTACAAGGGATACTCCCATTCCCTGATAATAAAGTCGCACCCCATCTGTAACCCACCACATCGTCATCTTCATCACCATTACTATTACTAGTGTCCCGGTGCACAGATTCATGCACATTGAAAGGAAATTAATTAGAAGAGATATTTTAATATCACTATTCGTCCTTTCTCTATAATAGAAGTGTCAACCAAATTCACAATCGACAGTGACAGATAAAAACATAAGCATGCAATTGGCGCCAGCAAGAGCTTTATATGTATTGCACATGTGCGAGCCAACTTAGCCTTTCATATATGTAGAATAAACTTGCTTAATTAGACCTGCTTTCTGATTTAGCTAAACTTTTTCCAGCCCAGTGAAGCACCCCAACTTCTCTTCCAGGTAATTGTCAGCAACACAGCAGTAAATATCAACATGAAGCAGGTTATTATTATAGATCACCCAGGGAGAACAAAGGGTAAGATATTTAACTGCAGCAGTGTTTGACTATATGCTGCGCAGTGAGAAAACTTGAAGTTATTTTCAAGGTCCACCATTTCTTACTTCATTTTAGTCGGGTCAAGTTTCTAAACTTTCTAAATCTCCATTTTCCAGCTAATGAAAAGAAAATAGGATTCCATCGAGTCTCCTATCTACCTACTCCAGGACTTTTGTGAGGATCAAATGAGATGAGGCACATGAAAACGCTTCACAAACATTTGGTTAAAGTGTAAAATGCACCTGGCTATAAAGCAAGTCGTGTTTCTGGGCTGAAGAAACTCCAAGGAGAAGTTGCTAAGGAGAGGAAGCTGGGCATTGCTATGTGACGTCATTACCCGGTGCCCACAGCTACCATTTCCGGGCTGGGCTGGGCTGGGCTGGGCTGTGGGCCGCATTTTGCACCATGGGGTCTTGGCAGCATTGGCTGTGATTTGGTGGGGTGTCGCTCTGGGGTGGTGGCGGGGCCTGTGTCTCACTTGGGGAAGCCAAGTGTTGGTTTGTCGGTGCCAGGTCCGTGGTGCCGTTTATTTTTAAATGGCCAGTGCATGTCATGGCAGCTCCTGCATTGAGCTTCTTCCCCCTGGTAGTCAGTGCACATCATAGCTACCAGTCGGACAGACACTTAGCCTTTTATACATATAGATTATTATCACCACCCACTGTGGAAGAGCAGGGCATAAAGATGCTTTTCCTCCCACCTGCAAAAACATATCCCAGGCATGTCTTGGTAAGTCTCCACAGGTTTCTCCACAGGAGTTCACTATTCCACTTAAGTCTTTCATCAGTCTCTGAGCCCCTGAAAGTCAAGCTCAGCATTTGGAGCATGTGAATATCTGCAAAAATGGTGAGGGCATGTTGTGTTGAAACCCAGGCAGACGCCAATGGGTGGGTCATTGCTTCTCATTTAGTTAGGAAAGGGAAGAAGAATGACAACTTCCTAGAATACTCCAGGCATGTCATATTTCCAGGAAAGAGTTATGGGATAAGAATGCAAGCCTGAACTTTAATTCTCAAAAAAAAAAAAGGCAACAACTCGACTGAGGTGAAGTGTCCACGTGGCACAGATAGCCAGAATTAGAAACCATCACCTTGAAACTCCAATGTCTCCTGCTGGGAATCCAATTCCCTCATATAGATTCCAGAAGGGGGCAGCAGAGGGAAAACTAATCAGGAATCACATGGCATGCTCCCAGGCAGAATGTGAAACAATTTTGGATGTACTTCACATAATGTGGCACTCCCTGAGAGGTTTTATCTAGTGACACCACATCCTATTCAATGAAGGAACGTTAACAGTGATATCTAAAGCTCACCCCAGAGAACACATGATGCTCATGAAAAAAAAACAAGAAGAGTTATTAGCCTCAAAGGCTGTTGGAGAAGCAGCAGTTTAACTCGCTACATTAAATAGTTTTTACTAATTTCATAATATGAAGTTTACAAAAATTGGGATGTATCCACTTTAGCTCCACAAATTAGGGTTACAAAGAACCTGCCTCAGACATTTCTCCTACACAAATAGAGCATTTTCCTCATGATAAAGGAATCCAAATCAATTTCAAAAGCCAAAACTAGGCTTGAGAATTCCTACCACTTTTGGAATCATGGCTCATCTTCATTTTCTATTACTTAACACTAGTGGCCCAGTGCACAAAATTCGTGCACGGGGGGGGGGGGTCCCTCAGCCCAGCCTGCACCCTCTCCAATCTGGGACCCCTCGGGGGACGTCGGACATCCCTCTCACAATCCGGGACCTCTGGCTCCTAACCGCTTACCTGCTTGCCTGCCTGATTGCCCCTAACCACTCTGCCTGCTGGCCTGATCACCCCTAACTGCCCCCACCCTGCCAGACTGATCGCCCCCACTACCCCCCCCAATGACCTGCTTGTCCCCAACTGCCCCCCCCCCGCCAGCATGCTCGCCCCCAACTGCACCCCCTGCCGGCCTGCTCGTCCCTAACCATTTCTGCCTCGGCCCACCACCATGGCTTTGTCCAGAAGCACGTCCAGTCTCCCAGAAGGTCTCCCAGTCTAATTAGCATATTACCCTTTTATTAGTATAGATGGCCTTCTAGAGATAGCTGTTACCAAAATAGGTTACACATCAGAATCACCTCGGGGCTGCCTAAAAATACAGATCCTTAGGCCTCACATCTGAAATCAATCATAGTCATTCATATGCTCTCTCATGCATTTCTCTCTCTCTCTCTCTCTCTCTCTTTCTCTCTCTCTTCCCTCTTTTTCCTTCCCCCCTTCCACCTTCTCCCTCCCTCCCTCCTTTTCCTTCTTCCTCCCCCTCTCCCTCTATTCCTCTCTCTTAAACCTTCAATGAACTTGGTGTTTGTGAAATAATGCACTATAACATAAGCCTCAATGTTATATTGACCCCTTTGTTCCAACTTTAAACAAATAAGCCTGGGATGATAGCTAGCTAACCAAAACAAACATGATTTACTTATTAAATATTGAGAGATTAAAAAAGAAAGCAGCAATTTCTTCCATATCCTCATAATCAGAGCTCCAAATAGTAACATCTTCCCTAGCTAGTTTGTTTGTAACTAGGTTTATCTTGGTTCAATGATGGGTCCATTGAGAGAGCTGAGGACACAGGCCCGGCAATCTCCATGGTCCACAGATACAGTTCCAACTCTCCAAGAACCTGGGCAAACACAACTTTTATTTTTCTCTTTGGAATCCACTCCATACGTAAGAACATTTGTTTGCCTTCCTGGTGGTAAAGTGTAATAAAAATACTTGAGATTTTTACTTTGGAAATGGAAGATTTCAACTGCAGACCTCCAATTAATCTACTCCATCAACTGATTCTACACAGAAATTTCAATGGCTTGTTGAAATCCTCTCAACTCCAAGCTTTCTCAATTCTACACGTAGGAACAATGAGACTAAATTCAAACTGAGTGATCCTTTCAGTAAAACCTAAATTCAGAACTTAAGAAGAAATACCTGAAAAGGGGGAAGGGGTAAAAAAAATTTCCTTGTAATAAAACACAAAACAAATATTTTAAGAGAATTATACATACTATCACACTTATACCAATCTTCTACTCACTAGAACTAATGGAGATTTTTTAATGAGAAATAATTACATACATATGTTAAAACTATTTTCTCCTACCTGGATCCTCAGATGTGTCCTTTGGTAAGGCTTCATCCATAGTACTTTTCAGAGCTAGTGACGTTTTGTTTTTAAAGAACAGAGAAAGAAAGAAAAGGGAGGGGGGGGAGAAAACTATAACACTTTATTTCTCTGGCAAATTACATTAAAACAAAGAATCCCTAGTCATCACTTATGAAAATGGTGTTACAAACTTCTATAACTGCTATAGCACTTACTAAAACAATAAAGAACTCTTAAAGTATGAAAATAAGTTCTCCCAAGAGAACAAAGCAGTATTTTCAACTTTCCAGAGACAGCGCCTCTAGTGGCTATGAGGAGTATTACCAGGAGATATTAGGCATTTCCCCTTTCATTCCTGACATCCAGATCAATGATATCAGAATCTCTCTTGAAGTGAAACCCAGGCTCCAGTTTTTTTAGAGCTCAGTTGATTATTCCAATATGAACTCGAGGATAAGACCCCCTAATTAATAAAGAGACCGGTCAGAGTACATCCTGCCATCTATTTACAATGTCCAGTTCTGCCTGCCTCTCCCAAGCATGCAACTATTGTTTCCTAAGGGAAAACTTATTTTTCATGTTTAACTCCCATACCAAGTTGCATCAATGGCAGGTCTCAACAATAAAACCTGAGATCGCTTCAATGATTTTTAGAAGGAGCAATGGCCTGAGAGAAAATCTTGGTTGTTATCCCCTCTCTTTTTCTTTTATTTAAATAGTTTATTGACTTTTAGAGAGAGGAAAGGAGAGAGAAATAGAGGGAAATATTAATGGGCTGCCTGGTGCATGACCCCTACTGGAGATCAAGTCCACAACCCGGGTATGTGCCCAGACCAGGTCTAACCAGCAACCTTTCGGTGTATAGGACGCCGCCCAACCAACCGAGCCAAACCGGCCAGGGCCTCTCTCTCTTTTTCTTACTAAGCAAATGATTCATACTGAGTCTGAACTTTTAGTTTACTCATTTCTAAATTTTAGGCGATGAACATACCACCCTCCATTCGGTTTTGTGAGTTCTGGGTAGATAGCGTATGAGAAAAGATGTGGTAGATTATAAAGCATTATACAGAAGTATGAAGTTGAGGGGGGATTCCTCCTGTTCTTCTCAATATTCCCAGGCCAACTTATCTCTGTACTTGGTAATAGCTATAACATGGATCACTGTTTTGTACTGCTTCTCATCCACCCACAAAGATAGACAAATCTTTATCATAGCCACACAGTCACAGATAAAGCCCAGGGACAGAAACTCTCTCCAGAAGATAATTTCCTCATGGACTAGAGCTTTGTATAAATGTGCATTTGTACTGATGCTCTGGGATCACATCTGCCAAAATAAGATGCTAAGCTCTCAATTATTTCAGCTTCCAGTCATTTCCTAATTAGTATGACCAGATTCCAATGTAAGGAGTCAGGATAGCCTGAGGGTCAGCAGTGAGTAAGGAGCCAATGAGCTATGGGGGGCTTTGGACACTCAAGCTCTTGTTACCACTTTATGAACTATAGTTTTGGGACAACAATTTAAACTACTTAATCCATCCAAATGTGTTCATGTACTGATAACTGCCCTCATGTGCTCTAGAAGCCAACCATTCCAAGAGAAGTGGATAAACAAAATATAGGCAGAATGTCCCTAACGGAAGAAAACTCATTCTTTTCATACCTTGTTTGTCATCACCAGTCATATCTTCGGTAGAAACGGGAAAGTCAGCCACGTCTTTAATAGATAACTTCTTGGAAAAGGAAAGAAAATTAATTATACAGATTGAATAGAACTTAAATGATGTACACATATGATGAAAATGTTTTAAAAGCAATATATCTTGCCAATATTTCTGTCTTCAGTAAACCCTAACATTTAATATTATTTTTTTAGGTTCCTAGTGAGGAACCTAGTGTATTGAAATAGATATATGCAGAGAGGAATAAATAACCATTCAGATTAAGGCATATGTATAGACCACATATTAAATCTGAATCCAATGTAGGATTCAGCCAGAGACTCTTGTAGCATTTGTTCATTCAGTGAAGAACAAACCCGTGCTCTAGCCAGTTTGGCTCAGAGGATAAAGCGTCAGCCTGTGGACTAAAGTGTCCCAGGTTCGATTCTGGCCAAGGGCACATGCCCAGGTTGCAGGCTCAATCCCCCCCAGTAGGGGCATGCAGGAGGCAGCCAGTCAATGATTCTCTCACCATTGATGTTTCTCTCTATCTCTCTCCCTTCCTCTCTGAAATCAATAAAAAAATTTTTAAAAAAGAACAAACCTGTAATTTATGTGCTTTTTCATAAGCAAAGAGAGGTTCTGACAAGTGGCCCCATAAGGTGGGTATATGCCAGGATCTGTTAAGCAGAGGGTATTCTACCCTGATTCATAGCCTCCTTATCCTGGAATAAGAGCATTTTAATGATGAGCACAACAAAATGTCATCCTAACTCACTTATGAGAAAAGTCTTCACTTATACTAATAAGATGAATACCCAAATTGATCAAATATTGATTAGTTTAAAATTATGTTAAAATCTATTTACTATAAATTTATTTCTTATAAAGTCTCAATTAACATGCACTCTAAGACTTCTGATAGATTAAAGAATAATATATTCATATTTGCTATATATAAACAAATCCTAGAAAGATATCTACAAATTGAAGGGTGACTGGGTACATAAAGGAAAGAGATGGGAGAAGGACTTGTCACTATATGCCTTTTGGTATTCTTTTTTATTTTAAACATATTCAAAAAATCAAATAAAGAAATAAATTTTAAAACTTAAAGGAAGTAGGGTAAATTCCTGGAGCTACCTGGAACTCCAAAATGTTAATTGGTTTATCTCTCAGAATCTGAACAACCCCCAAAAGATAAAGAGTACTGTTTTTAAACTGTTCCAAAGAATGGAGTTATAGTACTGCTTGATAGTAATCTGATCTACTAGTAGGATTTAATTCTCAGGCAGGTCATTCTTGGCATTACGATGAAGTATCCAGATGTAATTGCCTATTCAAAGTCTACTATCTCCAATGGAACAAAGAATGTATCTTAACATTGCCTTTCTTTCATTTTCTTCTCCTATCTAGATTAGAAACCAGATACTTAGTAGAAGAATATGACTCAGGGGTAGAAAATGTAGATTAGAAAGAAATCTAAAAAAGAGTTGAAATAAATTTTAAAAATCTAAATAATTGAACAGAAAACTTGATATTATTAGGATGGCACTACTCCCCAAACTCATCTACAGATTCAATGCAATCCTTTTCACTTTTCTGCAGAATTTGACCATATGATCCTAAATTTCATAAAGAAATGCAAGGAATCCAGAATAGTGAAAATATTCTTGAAAAAGAAGAACAAAGTTAAAGGACTCACACTTCCCAATTTTAAACCTTACCACAAAGTTAGAGTAATCAAGACAATGTGATATATACTAGCATAATGACATATAGATGGGATAGAATTGAGAATCCATAAGTAAACCCTTACATTTGTTCAAGTGATTTTCAATAAAGTTGCAAAACAATTCAATGGGGGGGGAATTGTTTTTTCAATAAATAATTCTGGAATAACTAATAACCCATATACACATATAAAAGAATGAAGTTAGACCTCTTCCTCACAGCATACACAAAAATTAACTCAAAATGGATCATAGACCAAAATGTAAGACCTAAAACTACAAAATTCTTAGAAGAAAACAAAGGAGTGAATCTTCATGATCTTCTATTAGGCAATGGTTTCTTAGATATGACACCAAAGCACAAGCAACAAAAGAAAAGATAGATAAATTGAACTTCATCAAAATAAACATTTGTGTTGCAAAAGATGCTATAAAGAAAGGGAAAAGAAAAACCAAAGAAAGAGCAAATACTTGCAAATTATATACCTAGTAAGGGACTTATATCCAGAATACATAAAGAACATGTATAACTCAGTAATAACCCAATTTATAAACAAAAGGTTTGAACAGACATTTCATCAAAGAAGATATACAAATGGCTAATAAGTACACAAAAAGATGTTCAGCATCATTAGTCATTAGGAAATTCAAATCAAAATCAGTAGGATGGCTAAAATAAAACAGACAGTAGGGGAGGCCAGGGGAATGTCGGGGGGGGGGCATATGTAATACTCTGTAATACTTTAAGCAATAAAACAAAATTAAAAAAATAAAATAAAATAAAACAGACTATAACAAGTATTTACAAGGACATGGGGAAATTGGAACTCTCATACATTGCTGGTGGAGGAATATAAAATGGTGCAGCTGCTTTGCAAAACAGTTTGATAGTTCATCAAAAAATTAAACACAAGTTACAACATGATCCAACAATTCCACAACTAGGTATATATCCAAGATAATTGAAAACATGTTCACACAAAAACTTGTACATAGCCTGGCCATGTGGCTCAGTGATTGAGCATCGACCTATGAACCAGGAGGTCACGGTTTGATTCCCAGTCAGAGCACATGCCCATGTTGCAGGCTCAATCTCCAGTAGGGGGTGTGTAGGAGGCAGCCTATTGGTGATTCTCTCTCACCGTTGATGCTTCTATCTGTCTCTCCCTCTCCCTTTCCCTCTCTGAAATCAATAAAAACATATTAGAAAAAAACTTATACATAAATGTTCATAGCAGCATTTTTTCTAACAGCTCAAAAGTGGAAACAATAACCCAAATGTCCATCATCTGAAGAATGGACAAAATGTGGCATATCCATACAATGGAATACTATTCACCAATAAAAAGGAATGAGCACTGACACAGCATGAATGAACTTTAAAACATTATACTAAGTGAAAGAATCCAGCCATAAAAGATCACATATTATATGATTCTATTTATATGAAATGTCCAGAATAGGCAAATTCAGAGACAGAAAATGGATTAGTGATTATCAGAGACTTGGGGGCTGGGGAATAGTGAATCACTTAATGAATACAGGCTTTCTTTTTGGAGTGATGAAAATGCTCTAAAATTAGACTATAGTAATGGTTGCATAGCTTTTAATATACTAAAAACCACTGAACTGTATACTTTAAATGAGTATGGTATGTAAATTATACCTCAGTAAAGGTGTACACAAAAGAAAGAAATCCAGTGATCTAAGAAACTCTGCTAAGAGGAGTATACCTGAAATTATAATCTTTAATTCTTGATAGAACATAGTTACAGCTCTGCTGTCTTTAGAAAAAGATGTACTGCTGAGCAAACTTCTCATGAACTGAATCAGCTACAGCTTCATTCCTAACACAAGCACCTGTATGGAGTCATCCCTCACAGGGCTGATGACCAAGATCTATTTAAACTCCATGCACACATTCATGAAAAAATAAAAGGGTGTAGAAAGAACAATGAATGAAATAGTTTAGAAGAACATAAAATATTTAATCATTAGCTATTAAATTCTGACCTATAGTGTTCAAATGGCCAAACCATCAATTAACCTCATTACTTCACCCCTGATTTTTGTTTAGTACATCATTATTTAAAAGCACTGCACCCTTAAAAATAACAGTTTTGTTGGGAGTTTTTGTTGTTTTTTTGCTTTCTTGTTTGGATAGGACAAAGCAAAGACTAGGTAGCTTTTAACCTACTCCCTCAAAGGAACCAGTTAAAGCTTATAAAAGTATATAAAACTTAGCTGCATATAAGGTCCATGTGTGTGTAAGTCAGTAATTAATTTCTCAAAAAAAGCATTATTTGTCTCTGTTGAAGGGGCAAAGACCATCTGATACCATGGCAAGCTGGAACAAAACATTTATCCAGCAAGAATAATAATTTATGACACTTTTTAGTAAATTACCTAACAACCTCATAATTTTGCACAAGCAGGGGGACTCATAGCAAAAAAAAAAAAAAAAAAAGGCAACTACATAAGAGAGCTATGGAGTTTATGTGTCCTGGCCTGACAGGCAAGCCTCTCCAGACACTGCCAGCAGCCCCAGAGTAGACTGAGGACCATCAAAAATGGTTATATGGCCCTGGCTGGTGTGGCTCATGGAAAGAGCAACAGCCTGCAGACTGAAGGGCCCCAGGTTTGATTCCGGTCAGGGGCACATGCCCGGGTTGTGGGCTTCATTCCCAGTGGAGGGCATGCGGGGGGTGGGGGAGGAGCAGCCGATCAGTGATTCTCTCTCATCACTGACGTTTCTATCTCTCTCTCTCTCCCTTCCTCTCTGAAATCAATAAAAATATATTTAAAAATAAAATTTAAAAAGTGGTTATATGTTTGTTATATGTTTCTCCATCATATTCAATATACAGAAAAAGAAATTTAAAAGGCCGAAAGTCTTCAAAAGCACATCTATCACACCTCCTGAAATCACTGTTCATTACATCTTTTTCCCACGAGTAGAAATTTGTTGAGGAAAGTAACATGGAGGCTATGACTCCACGAAAGAGCAGCAGAGAAGCCAAGAGAGCTGTTAACAGAGAGAGCACTGTAGAAGCAGGAAAATAATAATCACACACAATTATAAGAACTTAAAGAAATGGCCCCTGTATACTGCCTTTGGCTTCTATCATCTTGCCACGGTTTTAACTAGTGTCAGAGAACTGACACTAGGAGCCTGTGAATAAACCTCCATTTATTAAACTTTTCTAGATTTTTAGGACAGGAAGATTAGGTATCATAAGTTGTTATCATTGCAATCATGATGAGGATGATGATGACAGTGCTGAAATTAATAATAACTATAACAACTATTTATCAGTGCATACTGAAGGAATACTAAGCATGTGGCTAAGAACCTACATCAATGGCCCACCATGGTGGAAATTCTGGTTTCTCTTGGGGATCATCCAAATCAATCTTCTTCTGGTCCAAAAGTTAAACACTCTGAGGGAGAAGGCAGCTTTGAATGTGGTTTGGGGCCCTCATATATAGTTCTCAAACCTCCTCTCAAAACTGTTCTGGTTCATTATATTTTGCTAATACTCAGCTACTAAAAATACAACTTTACAATTTTTACTTCAAAATTAAAGCTTGGTTAAAGTAAGTAACTTGGATAGCATTTTTCTGGCTTAGTTTGGCTATACCTCAATTTCACCTCTAGAAAGTCAAGAGACTATTTTGCTTATTTCACCAAGTCTAGTTTTAGGGAGAAAATTAAAAAGATAATTATAGATATGTCTGGGGTCAAAATTTGAAAGGATGAGCCCCAAATTAAGAACTAACTATGAAGAGAAAATGTTATAAAAGTAGATTTTACAGAGTTTGTAAAGCACATAGGCTAATGGATTTAATTCTAAACACATCCTTAACTAATTTACATATGAAGATCTTTTACCTCCATCCGATTCAAGTCATGAGGTTGTTGGTTTGCTGGCATGGACTCAGAATAAGAATCAAATAACGCACACTCCCACTTGGGTTTAGGAAAGGCTAAGAAGAAACAAAAAGAATACATATAGTCATAGCAGGCACTGTTTCCTACATAACAACAAAATCAGCTAGCTCCTAACAACTGGTTATGGCACTCATCATGCTGAGATATAAATTTTCTATATATATAACCTGGAACTTCTATCATCTCCATTTACACATGATGAAACTGAGGAACCAGGAAGTTAAACAACTTACTCAAAGTCATATAGTTGGTAAATGATTCAGCAGGGACTTGAATTGCCAGCAGTCCTGCTAAATGGTCTTTAGCATGTCATGTTGTAACATAGTTGTTTTCTATATTAACCACTGCTATCACAATACTTAAGTTTTAACTATATACTACTAGCATAATTTTTAAATAGTAGTAACTATGGTAATAGTTTTAACACTCCGGTGTGGGGTGAATTTCCCGCCAAAATATAAGATGGCTCTGTCTTTTGGTTTTGTTCCATCCACCAAAAGGGTGGATTACAAACAAATATTTGGTAATACGCAGTTACAATCGGCCCGAGTTTACACGTTTCCCGCACTCCACCGCAAATCTATATGAACCGAGTTAAAGACAGCTCCCGCGGAGTACGCGCAATTCACGCGAGCCGACTTAACTCGTTTCCCCCACTCCAAGTGTTAATACTATAAACATTAATAAAGGAAACACTACAGTTTAGCTATTCTTGTTGGAAATAGAATCTTACGATGGTATGTGCCCAAGAAAATTTTATGAAATACTCCTTTCTTTTGGTTAGAAGGAGTAACAAAAGTAAGAGCACAGGTTCTTGCTGATTTACAAGAGAGGAAATAAGAATCATGTTATGAATTTCTAATACAGAACAGTGACAAGGGCTGTTAGTTTGGATGCTAACTAGATCAGCATGAGGAAAAATCATGCCACTACATAAGCTAATACTTATTTAACACTCACGCTATTTCTTAGAAGTGGCTTGTTTCATCACTGTGTCAGAAAGTAATTAAGAAAGATCGGTCTCAATAACTAGAAAATTTGTCAATATTCCAAAGAGGAAAAGCAGATTGGGGTAGACAATAAACAGAAGCTACAAATCAAATTTGTCAAGACCAGCTATTAAGAAATCAAAATTTTAATGCCATGTGTGATATTATGATTTATAATAAGGAATATATATTTGGTCCTACTCCCCATTTCTGGCACAGAGTTTCCAAACCCCTAGGAATTTCCAAAGTAATGAGAACAACAATGGTGTCTCCTTTTATGTTAATGAGATGATGAAACCCATCAAAGAATGTTAGCCAGGTTGCCATGTGGTTTGAGGACTGGAACTCCTAGCCTCAGCCTCTTATTTCCCATGAAGGAGAGAGGCTTGAGGTTGAATCAATCACCAATGGCCAATGACTTAGTGAATCGTGATTATGTAATGAAGTCTTCATAACCCCCCCTCGCAAAAAAAAAAAACTTTTTTTTTTTCAGAAAGCTTCCATGTTAGGGAATCAGAACGCTTCCATGTGCCACTGTGTTGGGACTCGAACTCCATGAGGACAAAAGCTCCTTTGTCCAGGATCTTACCCTTTATATCTCTTCATCATCTCATCAGGCTGTTCCTTTAATATCCTTCATAATAAATCAGTAATCTAGTGGGTAAACGGGTTTTCCTAAGTTCTATAAGCCATTTTAGCAAATTAATTAAGCCCGAGGAGGGGGTTGTGGAAGCCTGTAATTTATAACCAGTTGGTCAGAGGCACAGGTAACAGCGAAGACTTATGACCAGCATGTGAAGAGGATGGTAGTCTCGTGGAGCTCCGTACCTGTGGAACCTGATTCTATCTCTAGTTAGAAAGCGTCAGAACTGAGTTCTCAGACACAAGAATTGCTTGTTGGTGTGGGGAAGCCTCCATCATATTTTAAAAAATGTTTTTAATCAAGGGCTTAAAATAAATTGGCATTGTTGTTAATCCTTTCTCACCCTTCCATCCCCACCAGGGTTTGAAATACCAACTTCCCTCTGCAGTAAAGTACTGGCCAGTGAGTAACAACTACAATAGACAGTTGAGTACAAGTAGATTAAATTGTTCATTTGCTTATTCTGGTCTGAATTTCACTGATATCAGGTCGGGCAAACCACGGATCCTGGTGATTTTTTGACTATACCAAGGTGGTCTCACTCTTTCCTTGGTAAAAACAGCAAAACACTTTTCCAAGTACTGTCTCTCAATCCAGCCCCAAGAGCGAAATCCGAGATAAGATTTCTCTTTCTAGTTTATAAGTGAGCTCACTAGAATTGCATGACTAATACCTTATCATGAGGCCCTCTTGCTGGGTAAAAAGCTAGCACTTTCAAAAACTACAAATGCCATTAACTAACTGCTAAATCTCCCTCCAGCGTGTCCTCATCTCTGCATCTCCATTGTCATATCCCCAGTGTCAACCTCCCCACAGCTCCTGACTAGACTACTGCCATAACTGATCTTGTTTCCACCCCTTACTCCTGAAAACCTGTTCTGTGGTCCGAAACCAGCAGGATTCTTTCAAACAGCAAATCTGATTGTGTCAGTTCAGTTCCTGCTTGAAACACATCAACATCATTTCCCAAGATTTGTTCCCCACCTTCTTCTTCAGCCTCATCCCCATTCCCTTCACCCTGGCTCTTTGCCCTCCAGCCACTGTGGCCTCAACTGCTCCAAGTCCCTCTTAGGGCTTCTGCAACATACCTGCTGTCCCCTCTACCAGCACCCACTCTTCCCCCTTCTTCACCTACACAACCCTTAGCACATCCTTCCGGTCTCAGCTCAGACATTTAAGAAAGTCTTCCCTAAGGTCATGCACCCTCTTACTGCAGCTATACTTCCCCTTTATAGCATCTACCATTGGCTCCAATTACACATATGTGAGTTTATTTAACATCAATCCTCTAACTGCCAGCAAGTTCCACGATGGTAGGAATTCTCTTTTATACAGCATTATGACCAGAGAGAATAACACAGTGCCTCTCATAGTAAGTACTGAAATATTTTTAACAAACTACAGTAAAAATCTATACCAGAATCTATCCCATCACCCAGACATAAAAAAATATCAAAAGGCCCATGTGTAAGCCACCAAATAATCCAACATTTCCTTCCAACTCAGCCCTTTAATTGTCACTGTTAGGGGGGAAATCAGATACAATTCCTGTTTCATTATTTTATTGAAAAGAAGCTTATATAGTTGTAAATGCATGAAGGTATCAACCAAATTTATGCTTTTCACTAATCTTGTCAAAAACTGGATTCGATTTTTTTAAAGAGTGATTATAGATCAATTAGAAGACTATTGGAACAAGAGCTGAGTTTTTTTAAAAGGCAAAGGGATACCATAAAAATGAACTCCCCAAATCAACAGGACCACTCATATTTCAAAGTCTAAAAGCACAGAGAACTAGAAAGTTCTGGCCATTTTCTTGAGCTGTATACAAAGATAACCATTGGTGATAAAACATTAAGTTAGCTAAACCCTCAGGATTTGCCTGAAATATACTATCACTGAGTTTGATGGGGATTTATGAGGTCTCTCATGTTTTTATTAGAACCATCCTATCTAATAAAGAGGGAATATGCTAATTGGCCATCACGCTCTCACAAGATGGCAGCACCCACAGCCACAAGATGGTGGCGCCCAGTCCCCTCAGCCCTGCCTCATCCAGCTGGAGTCCCCCAGTCCTCTCAGCCCTGCCAGGGGGCGTCAAAGACCACATACCTCATCCAGGCGAGTCCCCCTGTCCCCTCAGCCCCGCCTCATCCATCCTCAGTCCCCCAGTCCCCTCAGCCCCGCCTCATCCATCCTCAGTCCCCCAGTCCCCTCAGCCCCGCCTCATCCAGCCTCAGTCCCCCAGTCCCCTCAGCCCCGCCTCATCCAGCCTCAGTCCCCCACTCCTCTCAGCCCCGCCTCATCGAGGTCTCAGTCTCCTAGTCTCCTGAGGCCCGTCTCATCCAGCCTCAGGCGCCTAGTCCCTCGGCCCCGCCTGAACTAGTCACAGACCC